GAGTGCTTGGAATTGGTTTCCGAGACTCTTTCATTCGGATTGACAACTTCCTTTGAGAACCGAGTCATTTCCACATTTTCACTTTTTCGATACTATTCATCTTTCGTCTTTTTCTCGTTTGTCAAATTGTTAGCACAACCTCACCTTTCGTGTTCGGATTTGATTCCAGTTTTGCATGCATCCATGATATTTAAATTCTATGCCATGCGTATTTTTACTTTCCTAGAAATGCATGCCAATTGTGCACTTTTCTTCCTTAGGGGTGTGGATGCACATTTTCCTTGGAATTCTTCTTTCTTTTGGGGTCACTTGTGTAATTACTGAAAGTAATTATTTTTCGTCTTAGGGATCATTTTGCAATTTAATTTGGAATATATTTTCAAAAAGGACTTTTTTACAATTTTCGGAAAGTGTGACAAGTGTCACACTCTCATTGGTCCACTTGTTGATATTTGTGTGGAAACACTTTGATTCCTTGGATGATGACATGTGGAGGGTGGAGATTTACCCACTTGTTGGCCTAGGATTGGTGCACTTGTTGGCTTAGATGGGTGACAAGTGTACGCTTGAGATTAAGCCTAGGAAGGAGCCATTGATTAGTGACAAGTGTAGGCTCACAATTTAGTCTTATAATTATTTTTAGGCCACTTTGGGATTATGGTTTTAAAGAAGGGTTTTTATGCAATTGACCAAGACTTGTGTGTGTGGACCATGGTGTAAGATCACACAGTGAGTGGAGGATTTTTAATTCCTCCACTCACACTTCATCTCATTGTTTTCATTTCCTTCCTCACCAAAAACCCTAGCCACCATTAGAGGAGCTTGATGCTTAAGCCTTGACCTTGATTTTTGAGGCCTTTCCACTCACCTTAGACCATGAAGCTTGGAATACTTTTTGTTCCCCTCACACTCCTCTTCTCTAGTGAGGTACGGGGTGTTATAATTTATTTTTCAAGTTATTTTACTTATTTTTGTATGAAATAAAAGTTGTATGCATGTTTTATATCAATTTATGAAATCAATGATGAATCATAGTTTGCATACAACTCACTTTAGACTTGATATATGGCATGGTCTTGACTTGATCTTTGTTATATAATTATTTGGAGTCATTTGAATGAGTTTTCAAATCTAGAGATTTAATTAATTTAATTTGATTTAAATTCTAGTTAATTGTACGTTGCTTATTTTCCATTTTTGACTTGATATATGGCATGGCCATGACTTAATCCTTGATATATATTTATTTGGGGTCATTTGAACTACCTTTGAAATCTAGAGATTTAATTTATTTAAATTAATTAAATTCCACATGATTATATCTTGCTCACTTTGTGAAATTGATGTGATATTTGCAATCACCATGGAATGGACATTCACATATATTAATTTGAGAATATTTGGAAAACTTTGATTTATAAATAAATTAATTAATTAGGTTAATTAATTTCTACTTAGTGTTCTAATGATTTGGACATCTATTTCATGGGGCTTTTGCCTATTTAGCATGTATCATGACTTGTTGCAACTTAGCTTCATTAATGTAGTTAATGAACTTGCACCCTTGCATTGGAATGATTTAATTATTCAAGTGTTGTTAAACAAATGATTAAATCATTAATCTTATACTAGTTGTATACTTACATCAATGGATTTCACGTGCTATATATATATATATATATATATATATATATATATATATATATATATATATATATATATATCTTGGTTATAGTCTATGTAAATGCATACCATGATTTCTTGACATTTCACATACCATCATAGTTGAGAATCTAGGGCATGACTTGTGTGTTCCAAAATCTTGGTTGTGCATGGAATGTGGTTTAATGCATTACTTGTATCTTGATACACTCTTGGTTGCACAACTTGTTGATTTTGGAACTTGGGATATCAATCAAGAATTGACATGGCTAGGATTTGGTTATAGTACGGGGGATTGTCCCTCTAAACTATAGTGCGCACTAAAGGAAAGGTACCCATGGGTAGCCCTAAAGTGATCTCAATAGTACGGTTTTAATCTTGGCGATATCCGAGTTTCCACATTGGTTGATTTCACTCTTTAAATTTCAAGTTGTTATTGCTTGAAGATTTAAACCTTATCGTGTATGTGAAATACTCCAATCTTGTTTCATTGTATAGATTTTATGCTTCATTTGTGATTTTGTTACTTAGATTTCAAGTGCTATTCTTTGAAGATCTATGACTTTTTTCGTGTTTCAGGGAATGTTCCATCCTTGTTTAATTGCATAGATGTTATGCCTTGCTCTTGATTTCATGTATAACTCCTATCGTGTTAATTGGAATGTTCCAATCTTGTTCACTTGCATAGATATTATGCCATATTCTTGATTTCACATGTAATTATTTTCGTGTTATATGAATTGTTCCTACCTTGTCTAATTGCATAGATATTATGCATTATCCTGAACTTCATGTATTCTTCTTGTCGTTTTAACTGGATGTTCCAAATCATGTTAATTGCATTGATAATGTGATCCATATTAATTCATAAACTTGTCGTGTTCTTTGGATTATCCTAACCTTATTCAATGTCATAGACATCATGACTCATGTTGCTTCATGTTAATATGACTTAGGAGTGATCCTATATAAATAACTTGACTTAGATTCTAGGTGGTATGGACCACAGTTAATAGTTTATACTATCAAGCATAATCTTGGAACTCTTAGATTTCAAGTGTTATCTCTCGAAGATCTAAGAATTATGTCATGATTGTATGGAGTATTTCCTACCTTACTTAATTGCATAGACATTATGCCTGCTTCATGTATTTAGATCTCGTTTGACACACTTGAAACCGTGCACTTGCTTTTTGTATCTAGAACTCCATTTAGTATACTCGTGTCTTGTATACTTGCCTTATGTGTTTCTGATTCCGTTTAGTATACCTGTGTTTTGTATACTTATCTCCCATGTTTTTATCTTTGTTTAGTACACTTGTAACCGGTATGCATGTATGTCATGTATCTCCTTTCAATTACGTGAGTAGCTTAGGATGATCCCTGAGTCTCACTTTGACATAGACGTTAGGTGGCATGATCCCTTTTGAACTATATCATATTAGTCTAAAAATCTGAAAGAAATTAAGTCGATGCATGCTCATTTTCTACGAGTAAACTTGTTTACTCACCCCGAAGTTACTGGGGGTTTTGATCAGGTGCGAAGACTTGGTTCGTGATTCTTATCATGCTTGGATGATTCATAGACTTGAAGATTTCAATTCTTGTAAAGGTCGACTTGAAATGCCATTTGTAGTCATTTTGTCAAATATATATATTTGATTTCAAACTTGTAATGTGTGCCTAAGCACACTTTGAAATTCATTTCGTGCATATGATATGTGGCCAAGAGCCAAACTTCATTTGTAATCCATGTATATTGAAAAATGTAGAATTTTGCATTTAATGAGAAAAACATGAAAACTTGGGTTTCAATATGTCATTTTCGCACCGATGTGTGCATTTTGTATGTGATCCATCCTTTAGCATTCATTTTCCATATGTGAGGTGTGGCTAAGGGCCAAACACCATTTAGTTTTCATTTTTGCATTTTAGTTCACATATTGTATTTTTGGGCTAAAATAGTAGAAACCAAGTCTTTAAGGATTCATTTTCAAATCAAGTGGTGCAAAGTGTGTTCCGGCACCTCCACTAGGTCTCATTTATCTTGCATGAAGTGTGGCCAAGGGCCAAACGATCATTTGAAACCATTTCCTAATTTTGGTTTTCAAAATTTCCATTTCAAGTTTATTTTCGCCTTTTTTGTCATCGGGGGGTCGGATTTTGACTCAGCCATTTCCGAGAGCCATAGACCATTCCCGCATGCCCAAAATCATCATTTACGTTTGCGTGCATGATCGTTTCCGTGAAAAACCCTTTTGTTTGTGTTTTGAGCTTCCTACGGAGCTATTTCACACTTTTGTTGAAAATTCAAGCTCAAGGGCATTTTAGGGATTTTCTTTAGGAAATAAATTCCGTTCTCAACTCTGTCACATAGAAAATGTGATTTTAGGGGGAATTTCTTCTTCGTGTTTTTCCGAAAAATGTCATCTTAACCTCGAAAACCGCGTTGTAAACTCAATTTTCTACAAAACACTATTTCTGCAATTTTTGAGGTTCCAGACCACCCCACTGCCTCATTTGGTGGGCCCCTGCAGTGTTCTGGCGGGTGTCCGCGAGAATCTGCCGTGTTTGGCGGGCCCCCGTGGGAACAGTTCCTGCTCCAGACATCTTTCTTCAACGGGCCATATCTCACTCGTTTAATTGGTCCGTTCTTGAGTCTAAACTGACCGCGTCGAAATAAGCTTTCCAATGGTATCAATTAGAGCTTCATATTCCATTTGTAGCTCAAGATATTCAAGTTTTAGTAAGGTAGTGTCAGTTTTTGGTTCGAACCGGGATAGGGTTTCCCTTCCTTCGACTTCGGAACTTGATATCTTTGCCATCCGGACTCCGAATCATGCAATTCTTGAGTCCATATTTATTAATTTTTCATTGTCTATCTAATGGTGTACACGGGGGTACTCGTTTCTGTTTGGAATTACCATTTTACCCTTTTAGCCTTAAGTGCTCATTTTTCTTCGTCTTGTCGTTTCTCCTTCGTCCAGACTCCAAATCATGTGATTCTTGAGTCCATCTTGATTGATTTTTCATTGTCTTTCCAACGGTGTACTCGGTGGTACCTGAATCTATATTCTCAAAAATGACTATTTTGCCCCTAGGGGCTTAATTGTTATTTTTTTTTATCTCTCGCTTCCGCACTTATCCCTTTGGGTTCCATGACCTCGTGCAAGGTCATCTTAGGGTCTTAGAGGTGTGTTGTACCTTGGGAGACCGTTGCCTTGTTTCTAGCTTCTGCATCTTGGATCCAGTTCGAGTCATCACAGGACGTACTAGCCTAAAAACCAGGGTCGTCATAGCATACCAGCACACCAGTGTTTTTTCACAAATGCCTTTTCCTATTTGGTCCTTAAATTATACATATCAGACAACCATTTGTCACGAACACCGCACTCGGCTTGCATGGACTCCCAACATATTTCAAAATCATCTTTGTTCTCATGTTCTTTCATAAACTCAGATAAAATGCTTCTTATACCCATCGGACCCTTGATAACATTACCTAAATGCTTCATACCATTTTGCATAATATGCCATATACAAAGATAGTGGTGTGTCTCGGGCATCACCAATGCCAATGCTTTTGTAATAGCCATAACTTGGTCACTTATAATTGTCTTTGGAAATTTATAAGACATTGCCTTCAAAAATGTCTCAAACAACCACACAAATGAATCCATTGTCTCATCATACATCAAAGCACCTCCAAATTTAGCTGTTTCTCTATTATGATTCAGACCAAAAAAAAAGCAAAAAATGGTCAATTCTCATTAATCACCTTGTATGTTGTGTCGAATGACACAATGTCTCCAAAATGACCATATTTAATAATCATACTTGCAGTAGCCCAAAATATATTGGTTATCAAGTCATATTTGTCCAACTGAACAGCATGAAAAAATGAGAGATTTTCCAACATTCGGGATTGAAAATACTCAATTCTCTTGGTTCTCAAATAATTTTTTTTGTCTACTTTTGTAAACCCAAGTACTTTTCTTGCCCCGGACTGTAGTCCCATTAGTTCATATGAAGAACCAACTGGTAGTCCATCTGCCAACTCGATGTCAATTGCTTGAGGTACAGAGATGTTCTGTTGTAAAGGCATCAAATGAGTGCAATCTTTTCTAATAAGTTTATGGTTGTGCTTCTCTTCAAATCTATCTACAAAATATATTCCTTCATCCCTTTCAAATTTTATATGCATGAATGCACCACATCTGACCCATGTTTCTATCCTAGCTTCTTTTGTAAGATGGCCCCTTTTGTCATTTCCTCTATAACCCTCATTGCAACATACATATTGGGTAGAAGTAACTTCTCCAGTTTTAAAGTTTTTGTTGGAATAATCCCTTCTCACGCTAAATCCAACTTCACGTCCGTATGCATTGTAAAAGTTATATGCATTTTCAACGGACTTAAACATCATTCCAAATTTGGGTTTATGGCCTCGTTCACCTAATGGACTATCCATTTAAAACCACCACCTAAAGAAGATAACAAAGTGTCTTAGAGAATGCAATTTCTTAAGAAACATTTACTATTGTAAATATTCATAATAGTAATCAATAACTTATATATGATTTTTCAGTCATGCAAGTGATGTTCAAGTTCATACTCAATATCTTAGCACAAAAAACTCATATCATGATACCATTATGCCTAAGGAATACAATTAAGGGAAAGTTGCCCCTTAATTGTCCATTATTGAGCCATTGATTTTTAAGGAGAGGATTTTATAAGGAAAAAAGCATGAGAGAAGTCCACTAAGTCATTAGTAAGCATGAACAAAAGGGTATCAGTGAGTTATTCAGTATTAAATCTCATAAAACAAGAAAATTTCGTTTATGAAATATGTGAATAGAAAATTTGAAACGAAGGTGTTCTTCATTCTAATCGATTTTACGAGTCATGAGATAAAATTTTGTCTACTTGTATGATTCAAAATGTATAGGATCAAGGATGGGAAAAAAGGAGTATTAAATCTCATAAAACAAGAAGAAAAAAAAAATGACATATTTTTATCTTGGCATGTACTCTTTCTGCCTCTGTATTAGCTCCTCTGTATTAGCTCCAACTTACTTATCTTATAGCTATGGACTTAGTCCAGTTAAGGAATTTCATGAAAGAAAGCAAAATCTTCCATTTTTAGGTCTTATTGAGCGAAGTCTGGTCCGTACCAAACAGAAAATCCTAGTTTTGAATCAAATTGATGTTATTTCATAAATAGATTCTTCTAAAACTTGATGTTACATTGACTTTCTTTCTTAAATATGGAATTCATAATAAAAGATGTCTTGACAAAGTCACAGTCAAGATTCTCAATCTTATGGGCGAGAACTTCCCAACCTACTCGTGCTCGCTCTCGAAAAGCACTGAAAAAGACCCAGCTGGCTTAGAAGTGAAAGGGGGACATCATATTAGCACTCGTGAACTACACCTCTTCCCTATTAATTCCATTGAATGAAGATTGGGTTAAGGAGAAGTGAACAAGGATGAAATAAAATTTTGTCTACTTCTATGATTCAAAATGTTTAGGATCACAGATGGGAAAAGAAGGAGCATTAAATCAAATCAAGAAAAAATTGTTTGTGCAATATGTGCAAAATAAATTTGAACCAAGGTGATCTTCATTCTAATTTATCATGTTGTCATGAATAATTTTAGGGTTATCCTATAACAATGAAAAAAAAGGGAAAGAGAGAGACAAAAAGGGTGAGTACCTGAAAATACATCCGTGAGACAATGACGAGGTGATGCTGAAACAACCTAGTAGAAGTATACTAGTTTGAGGTAGACCGTGAAGAGGGAGATAGATGGCAGATGGGACGGTGATGAGGGAGGCGCTGAAGCAGACGAGGATATTTTGTTTTCCCTTTTTTTTTTTTTTTTTTAGGTAATATTTTTAGCGTAAAGTCATTCCTTTTTCCATCTCACTCAAAAATTATCCTTTTTAAAAACATACATTTTTACACTACAACATGGGTACAGCAGAGGATCCTAGTCCCCCATTGGTTTATGTAATGTGTCATATAAAATCATTACTAAGTGCTTCTAATAGGATGAAACCGATTGTGAGATCTATTATTAAGATTAACAAAGTGCATTTATGGACAGAGAACATTTTAATCACACATGAACTTCTTCATTATTTAAAAAACAAGAGAAAATGTAAGCATTCAGAGACAGCTTTAAAATTTGACATAGGCAAAGCATATGACAGGGTTAAATGAGTTTTCTTGGAAGCTATGATGAAGAAAATAGGTTTTCACCCTCAATGGATCAAATTAATCACGAATTGCATCTCAATAGTCTTACACTCATTAGTTATTAATGGGAGACCAGTGGGTTTAAAGAAACCCACTGGAGGCTTTCGCCAAGGTGACCGATTGTCTCTTCATCTTTTCATTATATGTGCCGAGGTATTATCAAATTCTCTTATGATAGCAAGTCAACATTAAATCATTTTTGGTGTCAAAATATGCCTTCGTGCTCCATCTATTTCCCATCTTTTTTTCGTAGATGATTCAATTGTTTTTTGCAAGGCATCTCATATAGATTTCAATTTCATTAAAGTGGTCCATCAAAAATATGAGTGTGCCTCTGGACAACAAGTTAATTTTTCAAAATCCTCGAGTTTTTTCTCTAAAAAGATATCACCAAATATAAAAGTTAGTGTCTATAATTTGTTTAGAATTCAAGAAGAGGGATTAACAGATCATTATTTGGGTCTACCAGTAGTGATAGGACTTTCCAAATGGGACGTCTTTGGGTATTTAACGCAACGACTATCTAAAAAATTAGCAAGTTGGAAAGCTAGCACTCTTTCTACATCAGGTGTTGAGGGTGAAATTCACACGGTCCGATACGACACCGTTTTCCTGCAAGGAAGAGAGAAGATGTAATATCCCGTAATTTTAAAGAGTTTATTTAAATTAATTTTGTGTTAGATTAATTCTTTAATGTGTAGATTTATTCACCTTTTAATTATATATGTTAAATTATTTAATTAATTTTATTTATTTGTGCATGTAATATTGATTTTATGTTCTATATATTATAATGATTAGTTTAGAAATTTTATTGGTTATGTTTTAGATTAATTAATATTAGTTAATTAAAGTATTTCATTTGTATTGTATAATAATAATAATAATAATAATAATAAACAATGTCATGATGTAAAGTTAATATTAGGATAGAATTTCATTTACTATGGTAGAATGGTAGATCAAATAACTTGACTAAAATTTTGCATTTGCCTTAAAGCCATATAGGTAGGAATGTGAGGAATGGGTGAGAATTAAATGTAAATTTAGATATTTGTATTATATATATTATATAAGTTAGTATATATATATTAGTTAGCCAACTTACCCTTAAGGCAACTCACCTAAGTAGAAAAGAAAGAAATTTTAGTGAGCAATTGTTGAAGAGTGAAAGGAAGAGAGAGAAAGAAGGGAGCCTGTACCGGTGTAGGCGATTTTACCCGACTACGCGCAACCGGCGGATTTATTTTAAATCCTAAAGGCAAGTTATTATCTACTTTTCCCCTTTGAATTAATAAATTAATTGTTTAGTTTATTTTTATGCATAGAGACCAGGTTAGGAGGTTAATAAATTATTAATTTTAGTTTATTAAATTAATGAAATTTTAATTATATAGGACGGTATATATTTATTTAATATCCTATGAAATTTATAATGGCTGAAAATAATTAAATAAGGCTTTAGGGATTTTTCTAGAATTTTCTAGATTTTTCCAGGGCTTTTCTGCAATTTCCGGCGAGACTCCGACGAGTTTTCCGACCACCGGCAGTGAGGAAGGTGACCAGAGTTATTTGGTGTGTTGCGGTGTATTGTAACAAGCATGCGCATGGATCAGCAGCCGTTAGATGGGTTGTGAATCCTTAGATTGATACGGCGTAGCGCGGAACATCATATGATGGTGCGCGCGAATCCTTGGCCGTAGGATTAATTAGGCTCATTAGGATTGATCCGGTGTGGCGCGCATGTAGGAAAGATGATGCAGCCAACCAACTGGAGGACGCCACGTCAGCAAGAAGCCATCAACGCGCGCGTGGGAGCGCGTGCGCGCGCGTGGCTGATGCCAGACGCGCGTGGAGGCGCGTGTGCGCGCGTGAGAGAGTGAAAAACATAGGGCTGCGCGTGGGGAAGCTTAGGGCGGCGCGTGGGGGCGCGTGAAGGGCCCTGTCAGCTGCTGGAAATTACCAGAATACCCCCAGGGCCTGTTTTGTAAATTCCAGAACCTTAAACTTGGATTTTTAGGTACTGTGTTGGTATTTACGGGTTTAACGGGCCACGAAATTATTATTTTAATACCCGTTAAGTATTATTATGGCCGATTAATATTTCTAAACCTTAATTGGCCCGTTTACCGTACGGATATGAATGTGATTCATTTAACAACATTACTATAGGTGGTGTTATTATTTTATTAAATGGTATTCATTAGTACTGTTAGTAATGTCACGGTTATCGTCATATAAATTATCCATTAGATATTATGGGATAGTTATACTGTTAATCATATATCAACCATGATTATTATGCTGTGTGCATTTCAGAGAATAAATGGACTGTTTTAATTATGTCGCATTTATATTATATGGATGTGTTGCCCTATAGAACCATGTGAGCTGGCTAATAAGTTTCGACTCATTTATACCTTATGCATTCGTTGCTATAGACAGATGTGTGGCTGTCGGGGTATGTGGTTTAATATTATCGGCATGTGTTGCCTAATTTATATGCTCAGTATAATCATCAGTACTTTGAGAGGTGTTATCACTGTGTAGTTCGTTATAGTCTGTGTTGTCAGTCCCGTGCACCATGTATAATAGCTGATTTCCCGGGTAGGGAAAGGCGACACTTAACCACCTAGTGTGAGTCTAAGTGATCACCGTCTATTCTGGTTGAGGTCATGTTATACATTGGATAGTTCCCTTAGAATGTATACAGATATAGTACTCATCCGATTCATAATGATTAATTTATTTGATTCTCTGATTTGGGTCATAGTAGAGAGGACTTGCTCGTGGGGTTGACCCACCATTGTTGTTATTTCAGGATACGGTCAGTACCCGTTCCAAGGTTGAGGTTAGCAATGAGGGACCACCATCCGAACTCATCTACTCTTACGATCCAGTTCAGGGTAGAAGTTTTATGTATTACTTCAGTTTCAGTTTTTATTTACTTTTGACGTTGAACTCTCAGGGTTATATTTAGGGATCCTTGATATAGGATTTCCAAGTTGTAATGGAGTACTGTATTAAATAAAGGATGGATGGATGTTATATTATTTAGTGTTCCTTTCCTATCTAAATTCTTTTATTATCATCATTTTGTATTCCATGCTTGTATATTGCCAATTGTTTTTTATATCCCTCGTTTTTCGTGTATAAGCCTGATCAACTTATGCGTGGAAAATGTGGGGGTGTTATAGTTGGTATC